TAAAGGCATAGCATTGGTGTTTTCTGGGGTCTGATGAGGTAGAGTCAACATGGTGGGATTATATAAGGAAGAACTCACTTGGTGAGGAAGCCAAAAGCTTGTATGGGGTCAGCCTCGCTATTTCCTAATCACCCTATTCTAAAGGGAATGGACTCACCTGCCTGTCCCTATGAAGGCGATGAGCAAGATATCTGATGACCTCCCACAAGGCCTCCCCTCTTACTAGTGTGTACCAGCCTCCAAGCTTCCAACACAGGCGGCTTCCAGGACACACTCAGCCATGCTAAACCGCAGCACATGGATTTCGTGAGGCAGGCAGTATTGTTTTGAAGGGAACTGAGCTACCTTTCTGCAGGAAGAGCATGTGGAAAATGTGAGCCCTCTGGCCTCAGTCGGGTTGAGGAAAGGGGGACTTTGCAGCCACATGCTTCAATTTTCAACAGCCACACGCAGATCTTCAAGTGGCAGCCACTGCTCATTGTCCCGATGACTCAGAGCGCTTGCCCTCTCTACTGTCCTTTCAAATTAAATTCATTGCTCCACAAGATGCCTGTGCTTCCCAGAAATGACGCAAGTGCTGTGTGCCCTGTTCAAAGCCTGGACATTTGACTCTCAGGATACTCTCCCATAAATGAGCTGGGCCGAGCCACCCACTGACAAGTCCAGTAAGGCAGGCCCCTTTCTCCTTTCTAACAGAGGGCATGGAACAGCTGTATACATTTCTTCTTCTAAAATCAAGTCTTACAAAGCCCATCTTGTAAAAATTTAATATCCTTGCCAAAACACATTAAAAAATTAATTCCTTTCACTATGACTGGTCAAAGTATGTCACATCTGACCATTCAAAGGGTGAAAAGCAGGCATTTCCCAGACGGCGAGAAGCTGAACAAAGTGTAGAGACTAAGATACTTAGACTAAGATACCCTCTGTCTCCCATCCTCAAAGAAACCTCCAGTTCTTTCTCACCGAGGAGACGCAGATCCTTGACCCATATCACAGCAATGAGTTAGAAGCAGCTAACCCGTCAGTACCAAGGGACTACACCTGCTAGAGCAGGGTGGGGTGGGGGAGGGGCGGGCAGTGAGCTGGAAGGCCCGGAGAAGTCCACAAGCTGTGACTCAGCATCTGCCAAGCTACTTGAGTTTCTCTTTAAAAGGGACAGCATATGCCAGTGGCTGCTTCTAACCGAGGAGATGACCACATTTCCCTCCTTTCTGGTAATAAGGAGCTGGCCCGGGAAGAAGCCCAGCTGCCCTTACGGTGGCACCAATAACAGTAAGAATACCTGGAGGTGGATGTAGGTACAGTGTTCTTACGAGAGCCTGTGAAGAAAGATCCGGTACCCCTGTGGGGGTGTGGGGGGGGGAGTGGGAGGGGAATGGGGGGGAGTAACTGAGAAGGTAAAGGACACAGGTCCTGAGAAACTTAAATGTCACCAGCGGGCTGTGCTGTTGAGAAACACCTGTGGTGCCTCTCTGGAAACACGCTTCTCACTGTGTAATCCAGGCACCAAAGGAGCAAATTCGTAGGAGGTGGTGAGTGGTAGAGGTGGGAGGGTTAGACATGGACCCCCTTGGGGACATTCTATTTCAGTGCATGCTGCAGTGCACTTCCCTTGCTTCACGGAAGACCCTCCTTTCCACTGAAGTCACTCCATTGTTTCTCCTGTTCTTAATGGAGCCTTGGGAGATAAGAGCGTGATTGACAGGACTGGGGCAGCTTGCTCACGTGATTGCATGTGGTCTGCACGGTGACGCTAAGGGGGAAGGTTATTCCAGCCTTATAAATAGAGGGACCGAAGCGCTGAAAAAAAAAAGTTTGCTCAAAATTGCTTATTGGGTAAGTGGTCAAGGGTTCGTGCAGAGCCCGGCAAGCGCCGTGCATCGGGCAGAGCCCAGCAGGCGCCGTTTACTTCTGTTCCACGTTGGGGCTGGAGAAGTTAAGACAATGCCCCACATATAGCTACCATCTGGCTTGCTCACAGCAGCTCCTGCTCCTCCATGTCTGGGACTTGCCTTCAGGTGGCTTTAGCTTCCTCACGGCATGAGGCAGGTTCCAACAGTATGTATTCCAAGAGGTAAATAAAAGGAGAGGCTGCCAGTCTTAGAAATGGAATGGATTCCATGGTATATTTGATTGTTTGTGAAGTCATGGAGCTGTTCTAGAGTCAAGGAGAGAGAATGTGGATCCTTCTTCTCATAAGAACAATGTCAAAGAACTGCCAGCCTTATTTAGCCTGCCACAGATCAAGGGGAAGGGCAGAGACTATTGTTGCCATACTGTATGACATAGAAATTAGCACCAAAGCTGATCCGCTTCCCAGTGGCTTCGCTTAGCCTTGAACTGCAGCGACTACCCTGTGAGCTTATTGAAGGCCTGGCTCATGTCCGCCCTATGCACCTGAAGTTGGCTATATTAACCCAAGCATAGCCAAGGCTTCTGTAAACTGAAGGAAGACATGAAGGGAGTGCAGTTCTGCTCCTGGCTCCTATTCTGTTCATTGAAGCGTGTCAACCCAGCATAATGTTTTTAGGCTTGACAGTGCACCCTAAGAAAGGCTTTGGGCTACACTGGGATCCAGAACACCCCGTGTAGTCACTGACTAGTTAATAAGGACTAAGCCTGTGTCCAAGTAGTCTTCTCTGGTAGCTACCCCACAACACTTGGTTATACTGGTTTGTAATCCCAAATACTCAGAAGGCTGAGACAAGATCGAAAACTCTTGTCTACAAAAAGAAAAAAAAAAAAGAAAAGAAAGGCAGGGGTGGGGGGAAGAAGAGATAAAGGGGAAAAGACGAAGGTCAGCAGCATAGAACCGTTATTATGTGACATTCACTAAATTCTCCAGTGAAGCCAGAGGCAAAAGGAGGTCTCTGGATTGCTCTCTATGGTGTTAGTGGAATTGTCTGCACTACTTTATCCGTATGGTTTTAAGTTCCTTAAGTCAGCAAAGAAAGCAGATAGGATCTGCAGCTTCCTCGTGGCTCATCACCTGAATGCGCCCCTGAGCTTCCCAGGCCCATCACTTCTGCTAATTGGATCGCAAGACTCTCTTTTTTTTTCAGTGAAAAATGATTTGATTAGGAAGTGTGTAAGCACATACAAGGAGTGGGAAAATGACAGAGATGCAGTATCAGACAGACAACACACACACACACACACACACACACACACACGCTCAACGCTCTTTCCAGACATACATTTATCCATTAACATATGTTTAAGCTGAGAATCTATAGATATAGAACTCGTGTCCTGTTAGTGATCCAGCTATGAATGAGGTAGGTGACGTTTGTGTCTTCGTGGAGCTCACAGCTCAGAAGAGGCTATAGAGGCTATAGAGTCAGGCAATTTATAGCACAGTAGAAAACCTAAATTGCTAATAGAAAACAGAGAGGCCAGCAGCTCAGTCTGTGGATAAATATAAACATGTCAGGAAGGCATTCCAGACAACAAGCCCCATTCTTAAAGTGTGGTACCTGGAGCTGACGCCTGTGCAAACCTTGGGAGACTGCTAGACATATAAAGTCTTCAGCACACATAGACAGACTTGAAATTCTGGATGTGACGCACAAACTCCTGTTTCAGTTTCTTGTCAGGGATTCAGACACATACTGGAGTTCCCTGAGACCTGGAGCCTTAGGGCTGCACGTCATGGCTGATGCTGTGGCCGGCATCACAGGGTGCTGGTTTAGTTGGACTGGAAAAGGGCCTCAGTCTAAGAGTGCTTGAAGTCTGTGGTTAGTATACTGTGACTCGAGGCAGGCTGGAAACACCTCTGCGCTGAGGCCTAAGCTCAAGTTAGGCACTTAGGACCGAGGAGAGGACAACGGGATCTTACAGGGAGTTATGTGCACGCGCCCGCGTGCACACACACACACACACACACACACACACCTGCCGCCGCCCTTATAAAGGAGCCTGGCACAAACCTCCATGGTATAAATTAAGCTCACAGTGGCAAACGTGAATGTTTATTGCCGTGCTTCTTACACTTGAGTGTAAATAGACCCATCTGAGAGTTTCGTAGAAACGGACACTTATTTAGTGGGTGGGGGCAGAGAGTACATTTGTAATAAGCTCAGGGATGCTCATGCTGTTGGTCGGTGAAACTGCTCACTTGTATCACCCAGCTTTTCCCAAGCATACGTACCAAGAGTAGATGGAGATGGCGCAAGAATATAGTTACCCATTAGCTCCAGGAATCATGGAAAGGCGACTAGTTGCAGTGAGCTGAGGAAACCGGATGCTGGATGGATGGGTACGCTTGGAGGGTAGGGAGGAAAGTTGCAGCCTACACAACCTCCCTGCCAGCTCTTCTGGTTATTAGCCATCAAGGTCGGATGGCTTTTAGCTCAGCAATTCCTCCCCGCCCCCGCCCCCCCTTCCCTCCCAGCGCCAATCTCCCTGAGTGCATTCCGGGCCAGGCCAGCAGACCAGCTCATTAAGTGACCACTGAGCTCTCGGTAAGATGCCAGCCAGCCAGAGAGGCGCTGGCCGAGGACAAGGTCTCTCCTGGGGCCTGAGTCCCTCTTCCCACCTTTCCTGGCTGGGGCCTGCAGCAGTGTTACTCTGCAGCAGCCCCTAGCACTTGGCGCGTACTTCTGGGCGCTGTCCATGGTTGCAGCATCTTTCAGCACACCGCGTCAGGAGGCCACCGCGGGGCTCTGCGATTGGCCGAGGAGCCCCTCGCCACCCCCACCACCAGCCCCGCGTCAGGCCCCCCCAGGCGCGTGCCAGCAGGCCTGTGGAGTCCCTGGGCTCCAGGGCGGCACACCCACTTTCCTTATTAGGACAGAGTCGGAGCTCTGCGGTGCGTGGGCTGGGCCAGCAGTCCGGAGGAAGGGAGAAGGGCTCAGTCCCCGCCAGCCCGCCTAGGGAGCGGCTGGTCCCTGAGTCCCAAGGAGCGACCACTTTCTGGAGATTCTGCTTCTGCCTGCCGCTCTCAATCCTCTTGAAGCTCTCCATCCGGACCCCTGGTCCTAGTCCCTTGCAGAGGCATGGAAGAATTTTTGCAACGCGCCAAATCTAAACTGGTAAGTTTCAGGGGTGCGTGTGTCCGTGCGCGTGGATGTGTGCTGCTGCAGGCGGGGAGGAAAGGGTGTGCCGAGGAGGATGAGGATGAAAATAACTTTGCAGCTTAGTTGTCGGTGTGTGCAAGCTGGACCAGCAAAGAAGCCCTGCAGCTCTCCGGAATCAGCGATCTTTTCCCCCACCCGCAGCCCAGCAAGGTGCAGAGGTGGAGTGAGGCCTGTCTGAACTGATGCGACTTACTGCGCCACACAGTCCCTTCCGCCTGGCCTCACTCCTGAGAGACTTTGCTCCCCAAGGACAGGGACAGTGAGTGAACCAGGGTGCTCCTCCTCTAGGAGATAAAAGAGCCCTTCCTTCCTTTCATAAATGCAAAAGACTTGTAAGCGTGAAAAAGAAAACAAAAACAAAAGCAAAACAACCCTCCCCCCCCCAAAAAAAACCCTCCGAAGCCCTGGGACAATAGTTAAGCTGAGAGTGGCAAAGCCCTTGTGAGGATCAGGGTTCTGCCTGGATTGGGGTGGAACCCCTCAGAGGCTGTACAGTGCAGAACTTAGGGGCATCCAGGTTATGCTGACTCTGGTCTCTGCTCTTTCCACACCCTGGAGCAGGGCAGAAGGGGATAGCCTCTGAGGTTGGTGGGCTTCACGTGCTGGTCTGGTATATTTTACTGTCTGAAAATGTAAACAGTGAACTATAATGTCACCGCGTGTCTGCCGTTGCCACCCATTCTGAATGTTGGGGCACTTTTCTCCAGCATGACGATAAAAATCATAACGGAAAGATTCAATCTTGGCACTTAAGAAACAAAAGCCAGGTCCATTTAGAAGCTGTATGTTTTATGGAGTCCAAAAGTACCTTTATGGGTCTGGCCTAAGAGAAAATGCATAATCTATGGTGCCTATAACCTTTGAAACTCCCCAAAAGGCAGCACTGAAGTCCGGGAGGCTTCCACCACAAGGCAGGATGCCATCTATTTCCTGAACATAACAAAGTGCAGGGAGGGCTCTACTCAGGGCAAGGATGGCAGAGAAGCCATACAGCGCCACATGTAGAAATCCTTTCTTCCTTTTCCTCTTTATTATTTTCTTTTAAAGGGACCACCAAAGTTGATTAATGCTGATATTTTGTTTTCTCCCTTTAATTGGTACCCAACCCAGTCCATCAGCATTGAGTGTTTGGGAGAATGTGATAAAATCGAGAAAGTTTCTGATCACTTCTGTGGTTGTTGACTCCTTCGAAGTTTTACAAAACATAAGGAAGGGGGAGAAAAAGCAACTTAGTGCAGAAACTCAGTAATTGCTTTGCATCTTTGCTGGAGCTCCTGCTGTTCTTCCCCTAGGAGTGGGAGAAGGTTGCTGGAAACATCAAGTTAATCTTGGCAACTTGTGATCTGGGTCTGTGTGTGTAAGTGGATAACAAGGAAGTATAAACACAGAGTTTGGGACTGCATCTGTGGCATTTTCTCAGTTTCTAAGGATAATGCTCAGATTGTGGGATCCGCTGGGAGTCTCATTTCTAACAGCAGTGCCTGGATGGAAATCCCCCTTCCAGGGTCATCAGCTGAAAGGGATGTGCAGTATATTTACTGAGTTCCTTCATCAGACAAGCAATTGTTCTCCATCATTAAAAAAAAGACTGGAAAAAGGAGGTTGCTTGATATTGTTACCAGTTTCTTGCATTAGCCAGAGGAGCAATTAGAGCTAAATTGTTCTTTTCTTAGAATAGGCTTCTGGCTAGAAATCACAATTAACCTTTCTCGCTCAGCTGCCACAAATGTGTTTGGTCACTTTTGGTCATCACACATTTCTCCTAATAAATACTTTCAGTAATAAAATTCATGCTTAATATACAATATTCAAGAAGAGACAGAGCTTTTCTTTAGCCAATGTTTTCCTTGGGAAGACAGATCATGTCTGTAAATCTTGCCATTTTTCTGTGAAAAGCTTATTAAGGGAAAGACATTTACTGTTCTGATTTTTTGTATTAAACTTTTGTTAGAACCGTAGTTAGAAAAGAATTGTGGATGGAACTGTTTTCTATTCAACATTATTATAAACTGATCAATATGATACTTAAAACTGCCTGGTTGCCAGATTTTCCTCTTGTTTTATTATTTATTTTGATGTGTTGTAAGTGTGATATGTAACTTTGAATAGTTGAGGTTCCTTCAGAGATGTGAACATGGGCTGGCTACTTCCGGGAGACAGCAGGGCCTTGAGTTCAAGGCAGCCTGGAAAACTTGGTGAGACCTGATATTGAAGGAGAAAGCAAGTGTGAGACCCCGGTTCCTTCCTAGGGCTGTAAAGCCAATCAATAAACAAACTAAATCTCTTTGAAGATTTGTCTGCTTTCCCCTACTAAGAATATTTGTTTCTGTCTGTTATTGAGAGGGGAATGTTTTTATTCTAGGGCAGGCCCTGGGTTAGGCTAAAAGGAATGGAGTCAACAGAATAACTGACAGCAAGGCCCAAGCCAGGGGTAAGAGCAGCCAGAGGGTCTGCTGTTCGCCTAGACGCTCCTCCCAGCCCTCCATGAAAATGCAGTTGTGTTTCTAGTCTGGCTACCCACCGCTGGATATTGAAATAGGAGTGGGCAGACATTTTCCTTCTCTCAGCCAGTGCAGCCGGCTCTTCCTCTACCTGCCGGGTCAGAATTGAAGCAGAGGCAGAAAACAAATCCTGCAGTTCAGATCAGGCCTTCAGGTTTCCCTTCACTTTCTGTTCTCTTAACCATTTGGGTGGTAGTGTCTTGGCCTTTCTTAGATACACATTCCTGTGTAAGAGAGACCGAAGAAGAAAGGGAAGGAAGGATGGCTTCCTGCCTATGATCTGGGAAATGTTCTCCAACTTTACACTAGTTCCCTGAGAAAGGTGTTTGGTCAAGGACCACTTCATGGAAATAAACTCCAAGTTCCCATGAACTTTGGGGAACAATTGTAACTGAGGGATAACGCAGGGGTGGATAGAAAGGCATGAAGTGGGGCTGGCAAGAAGCCAGTGTCTCCATACTGGGTAAGCTGGCTGCTGAGCCCCTTGTACCCCCATATACCACCAGCTGATGCAATTCATGCAGCTGCTGATGGGTGGGGACCACCACCACCCACACACTATAATGTGTAGGTCATAAGTCAGCCTTGGAGGGGACACCAGCTGCTGTCACAGGAATGTTGTTTGTAAGAGAAAGTGAAGAGTCATGATTGCGGTTCAGGGCACACATGTGCCACAACAGTGACAGCTGAGACACTTGACTCCGATGCTCGTGTAAATGCAGATTTCTATAGGAGAAAAATGCAGGATGATCTGGGTGTCAGTGTATACTCAGGGATGCATCACACTGGAATGAGAGTTTACAGCCTAAACTCTTCATGAGCAACTGCATCGGAGAGTAGCTCTATGGGGCAGCCATACAATGGGAAACTGAAGCAACATATTTATCCCGATTTTTACATTGGAAGGAGATGTGTGTTCACAAAATGGATTTAAATTCTTTATCACGTGTGTGTGTGTGTGTGTAGGTCAGAGGTCTATTGTCAAAAGTTGGTCCTCTCCATTCACTATGTGGGTCCCAGGGATCAAACTCGGGTTTGTCACCCTCCACCCATTGAGTCATGTCTCAGAACTCTGAGAAGGAATTTTTAAAAGCACTCAGGAAAGGACTGCAGTGGGAAGGGGCAGCAGTGGAGGAGAAGCTACAGAACACATTCATCCGGGAGTTGGCGGTATTCTGATCCAGGGCCATAGGATCAGCTCCCCAACCCCATAAGCCAGGCAAGTGCTCTGGAGTTGATGCCCTGTCCTGATATTTTACGACAGGGACTCCTTTGATTCTCTGCTTTCTAGTCTTTGGGATGTCAGTCACACTCTGCCTTGCCTGACCCCAGCAGTGAGTTTTGCCCAGGGCATTTATGGACAGGAAACTGAGGTTTCCAGAGCCCTTCTGGAGTAAGCGCAGTGGCATCTGCCTGCCTTGCCGAGTGATGACTGATGAGAAACAAGCCTTGGCTAGGTCCAGACTCCGCTGGGTTTCTCACTGTGAGATCATCCGGTCCAGCAGCTGAGAACTGTTTAAGCCTCAGGACCTTTGGAAAAGAACCTGACCAGAGCGTTTCCAGGTAACCGGATGTCGGAGTGTAATGGTCTGTCTCAAAGAAAAGAGGTGTTCATTGTCACTTACACAACAGCTCAGGACCTGGAGGACATGTGATCCATTGGCAAGGTGCTTTTCAGTCTGTGGTTTGGGGGATATTTTATGTCACCTCAATAAGAAGCTGGCAGGCTTGGTGTAGTACAGTTTATTTGAGTGGATATTGTGGTTATTTTGAGTTCAGTGCACAAATCTCGGGCACGCTTGCAAGCGATGGTGTCTTAGTGAAAGGAAGCCTGTGCTTTCTTGGCATTTCCCCATTCCATGCTAACAGAGAAGAATGGGAATTGGATCGTGGGGATAAATGAAAGCTGTAGAAGAGGAGAAAACACATAAGCAAAGGATGCAGTGCGGCTTTGTTCATTGACTCTTCTTGAACCTGGCCTTACTGGAGCGTCACAGACTTTGTGGTTTTCTTGGAGAACACTGGGAAGGGGCTGGGCTGGAGTGGGGCTCGGGGGGTGGCACGGACTTTGACATGCATCGCACCTCAGGGTTTGTGCAGAACACAGTCTACACCGTGATGTGGCTCTCCTTTTGTAGGTATCACAATAGCCATTCACAATCTCTGGCATCTCCATAGATCCATTTCTTTGGGCTTTGGGTTTTGGTCTCCAGAGAGGTGCCGTCTTCTTCCTGAGAGACTTAGTGAGGCTAGGGAGCTCTACATTGGTCCTTAAAAGTTAGACCTATATAGTCTGAACTAGAAAAATTTACGTAGTTTTAAGCTGGGAAATATATAATGGTATTTACTTTGTGTGTTTGTTGTAAAATCAAAATGAGAAACCCATGGCTCTTAGCACAGAGCTGGAAGCAATGGCTTCTGTCTCCACTCCCTCCCCCCAAGCGCTTCTCTTCT